GGCTGAGCGGGACTGGTGTGGCTGGAAGCAGAGCGGTGTCCTTCATGAAACAGGTCTGTAGCAGCGTGAAAGGCTTTCCCGTGGGCTCTGTCTGCCGTGCCCTTGGGATAGGCAGCATGGTCAGCTGTTTTGCCGTCGAGGCATCTGGTTCTTGTGATGCTTTCAGAAAGCCTGTGAGTTCATGTGTTGTGTCGATTTCAAGTATCATGCCCCGTCCCAAAGGTGTGTGCTTGCTGCAGGTGGAGCAGAGGCCGCAGCTCGAAGGGGCTGTTTGGAGCAGGGGCAGGATGAGGCCTCACCAAGGTATGCAGCAAGCTAAGGGGGGCTCAACACCTGCTGGCTTCTCTGGGCTCTCACCTTAGCAAGGGAAGCTCAGTTACCCCAGTGCTACTGTGACTACAGTGTAGTTAATCTGTTCATCAAATCACCACCGTCAGAAATTGTGGGCTCCTTTCATGGCTGGCTGTGAAATAGGATGGATAGGTTGCTGCTACAAAGCAGAACTCAGGATGGGGAGAGTCTGGGAGCTGGGAAAAGCTGGGAGAGGGGGCATGATGCCATGGAGAAGGACCTCTTTTCTGCCCCTTCTTTGGTGTGCCCTTCCCAAGTAAGAGAGGTTAATTCCTGAAATCACAAGCAGTAGTTTCTCATCATACTTTTCCCTTCTCCTGACAAGTGTTGGAAGTTTTTCGTCCTTTGCCTATTGCAAACGAGTGGTTGTGGCAGTGTGAAGTACTTACTTGGTTTTCAGAGTTTTCATAGCTTAACAAAAGAACTCAATATAAAACCGACAAACCGTTTGTTTTTTTTCAAGTCCCTACAGGCACGTTTTGGCCTAAAAGTTGGATCTACCTTTTCTATTCCTAACCTATGCCTTCCTGGGAAGCCAGTTAACTTCAGCTATCAAGCACATAGGTGAGACAGCCTTCTAGTACTTTCTAGAATGAGCAAAAGGCTCAGTATGTCTTGCAATTGTGTGCCTTTTTTGGGTTTACTCTCTTTTTAGGGCTTTACTCTTATTCTGGAGAATTACTGGGGTGAAGGGAGCTGTATACATAAATCCTTTCAAAGTAACTTATTTGTGTTGAAGACTAGAGTAGGATTCTGAAGGTATCATAAGGAAGTTTTCAACATCTCTGTGCATTCATCAGTCTGTTTTGGATTCTAAGCAATGAGTTTTTGAAGCTCTGCAAAACATGAGTTAGATTTAAATACAGTGTTTTACATGTTAAAATCACCAACCATTACTATAAGTTTGGTCATTGGTGGAAAATAACATGGGCATATTTATTTATTTATTTAAAATTTAGGACAAAAACCAAAACTATTTTGGCAGATGAGGTTTGAGAGGTTTAAGTTAAGCAGTTATGAACATTAATTTTATGTGTTGTGCCTCATGAGAGACTCTTTTAACCATAACAAGGTGGGCAGCATTTTCTTGGCTTACTGTCCTTTTCAAAATGAAGGTCTTTTTCTGCCCCAGCTGAGCTACAAGTCAGTCTGTGGTTGACTGAATTGCCATTGTGGCTTCCAGCAGATCACTGGTGTTGCTGAAGTTCCCAGACCATCGATTGTAATTTATCTTTTTTCCCCTGTCTGGAAACCTTGTTTTACTTGTTGCTTTTCTTCTGCAAATGGCTTAGATTATTGTTAATATTAGGAGCTTTGCCTTCCAAGGCCAAGTGCCCACCAGCCCTCTTATTGTTTTTTCCTACTTGTCTCCACTCTAATAGTTTATCCTTTTAATGAGAGAAGGCTACAAGTTATTCTTTCTAAGTGAGATAAGCCCTTGTGAGCTCTATTTTATCTAACCAAGACTGGGAAATCGTTTGCCCTTATTTGTATTAAACAGATGTATATACTTTACCACAAGTCATTAGTGCTATAAAGAGATTGCCTTCCTATTGATAG